ATTTTGAGAGGATTAAAATATGAAAATTATTTGCATGAATAATTATTAAATTTTAGTAATTTTTGATAAATTATTTACTTATTTATTCAAAATTTATGATAAGATGGTGGCATACGTTGAATCTGGTGAATTAAATGATTTAATAAATTCTGACTTTAATTAATGATGGAGCTTGATTGAGATTTATCAAAAGAGTGAATGTAAACTCAACAATTTGTTGTTTATTAACTGATGGCTACATCAAATTATCGGAAAAATATTACATCAGGACTCCTAACGTAGAGTTACGTTCGGAGTCCAATGAAATGTGGTCACGTGGAGGTGACAAAAAAATATAAAAAAAAATCGTTTTAGCGCATGAGAATATTCCTTCCGTATTATTCTGCATTATTCAGGTGTTATTATGGTGTTATTCATGTGTTATTGTATTCTGAGAATATTCTTGGTATTATAATAACACAATAACACATCAATACTACAACAATAACACCTGAATAATGTGGAATAACACATGAAGAATATTCTCCTGTGTTACCGGTTCGGATCACAGGAAAGCGAGCATATTTCCTTGAAGCCACGTGTCCGCATGTCAGTAGACTCCGAACATTGCTCTACGTTAGGAGTCCTGATGTAATATTTTTCCATCCTAGTAAATTTTATTATGATTTAATTTTGTAAAATTACAACCAAACCTTTTTTTTTTAATGAATTTATGACAAAGCCTTCATGTTAAAAAAAAAATAATAGTATATTCAAAATATAATATTAGAAAATGTTTGGCAGGATTTAAGCAAAATGTACCAAACCACTTAAAACCCAAAATGTACGAAATGTTAGTTTTTTTCAGTACAAATTGTACTGCTCAATTCCCAAAGTGCATTCAAAATTCTAAATACTTAAAATTTGCTTCCTTAACTTGCATTGTTTGCTCCACGAAGCTTTTTTTATCAATAAATTTTCTCTTGCTAACCTGTATTTTGGATGATATAAGTAGGGCTGCCAAAAACTCTCCTTGCTCGCGAACAGTTCGTGTTTGGTTCGTCAATGAGTTCGTGTTCTATTCGTTCGAAAGGAGACGAACGTGAATAAATTTTTTTTCGTTCGATTAGTTAAACGAACCAAACACGAACAGAGACGCGTTCGTGCGTGTGTTCGAATGGTTATTGTTCGAAATAAAAATAATTTAAAATAATTATATTATAAAAAAATTTATGATATTTTAAAAAATTAAAATTTATAAATTATAATATATAATAAATTAATAATAAGAATAGATTAATATATTATATTAGTAATATACTAATATAGATTTTATATTTTTATATAATATAAGTTATATAATTAATATAATATATTATTTATATATATTAATATTAGGGATGTCAAACTGGCATTTTTTTTATCAATAAATACTTACCAACGTTGTTATCATGATATATTTTAAAATTATTGTTATATATACCTTAACATAAGTTAAATAATTTTGAAATGCATCTGATGTTGAGAGCAAACTTCCTTTTTGTACTGTAAACAAGTCATTGGGAATTGGCTCTTGTCGTGGCGTGTACATACTTCAGTTGCATGTTTGAATCGAACTTAACAGAAGAAAAAGGGTGAGTTATCGCCAAGTCAAAAAAAGTGGTCTTTGACTCTTTTTATTTTTTATTTTTTTGGGCAAATAGCCCTTAAATTTATACTGTAATATTTTTATGTTATCTTAAATAAAATGAGAACATAAATGTGATTTCAAAAAATAAATAATTATAATTTCAAAATAAACAGGGAAGACGTGTATTTATGATGAAGATAAATAAATTTAATTCTAAAATGAATTTATACTTTTGAATTAGGATAGGAGCCTAAGGGTCTATTTGGGGAGAAAATATTATGTCAAGAGGTTTAACACAGTTTCATGTGAGGATGATAGCATTTAGGTGTTATTGGTAGTATTGTGATATTTTTTTACCAGAATAACACCACAATACTACCTGATAACACTTAAATACTACCATTCGCACCTAATCTGGACGTAGTATTTTTTTCCTATTTGAGGCATTTTTTTGTCTGCGCTGCTTTTCAGACCGTCATCACAGTTCTGTTTGGTTAACTGATTTCTTATTGTATTTTAGAAATTTCAACGATAAAATGTTGTTTTTTTCAACCCGAGCCATTAAAGTGTGGTGGCCGCCGGAAAGTTATAATTTGCTTTTTATTAAATAAAATAAATTTGTAATAATCACCGTAGTTATTTGAAAAACAGTTTCTGCTGCAGTAACTTCACAACTGCTTATTCAAACAATTACAATTACCCCAAATAATTTCTAAATTAGTGGAACAAAAATTTTAAGGAGAATAAATAACTTCACCTTTTTAAGGTGAATCATGACTTATACACAATTATATTTTGATATTATGACTTTTACATACAAGATCAATAGTACATATTCTCTTTATAATGATGATAATAGTGATTTATATTTGTATTTAATAGTTGCCATTAATTAAAATTAGTCAATGAAACAATTTTTAATTAGGACGAGAGAGAGAGAGAGAGAGAGAGAGATGTTGACCTCATCTTTGGGTAAACCCTTTCCTTGGCTTATATTTAATTGAGTTTCACCTCAGCTATATATAGAGCTAAACTCTAATTTAATAAAACTAAAATTTAACTAAACCCAGCTAAACTAAAATAAACTTAAATATAAAAGTTTAACAAAAGCCTAAATCGACCTAGAAGCAGCTTTAATAACCAAACACCCCTAAATAATCATTTTCACTTCAGATTATTTTAGGGCTGAAACTTTATCATAAAAATTGCATGATAATTGTTATCACATATAGAGACAATGCAAATAAGCTCGACAATCATATGATATAATTTTTACGTAAAATTTTCAGTTCAAAATTTAGTGCATGAATGGTACTCCGTGCATACTAAAATTATCATTTTCTTTACAGACCAATCCGACGATCAACATTACATTTTGTAAGTTGCATAATGTATATACTCACATATATGAAGCATTTAGACAAGATTAGGAGCACGGAACAATGTTTTTATGTAAAATGTTACAATTAGGGTTTACATGCATAAAAAATGGTCCCACAAAACTTTTTCAACGAATTATTATTTTTTAAAACATACTTCTCCAGTGTGTTCGTATAATCGAAATATTTCAAATGAACCCCTTCGTAGCTAAATTCGATTTCATTTAGGAGCTAGTTTAGTTAACAATAATTTTAATAATAAATTAAAAATATCAATAATTAACTCAAAATAGACTCCAGTTGAAACCAAACTTAAACCAAGCTAATATAAGCTCAAAATACATTATTTAATCCATTAAAATCAACAAAAAAAACTCCAAGTCAAAATCCACCAAAACTCTCTCCTATAATGGGGCCAACATTTTGACT